GGTGTCTGAAGTGAGTGGGCATTGATTGGGAAGCAATGAGATCCTGAAACTTGGGATGGGGCCATATGGGCAGATAATCAGGAAGCTGGGGACACTGAGCCTCTAAATTGTGTTGAATCACTCCTGCCAACAGAACAAGGCCTCTCACTCCCAAATGAAGAGGTTACTCCATCTTTGTCTGCTACGCCACCCTCCCCAGTGAAACCATTAGTCCCTCCACCTTCATCTGATAGATTAACCCGGCTGTGTCTGAAGAGCCTTTGTCTGAGTCCTCACCTGTGGAGGCATCTGAGCCACTGCCTGGGACATCGCCTGAGGCAGATGCCTTCCAAGACATTGCTGAGTGTTCTCAGAACACATCCCTACCCCCCCAGTTTTGCTTCTAGACCTGTAAGTAGACTTAAGTCTCAGCGAGTCCCAGAAAATGAACTATAAAGTGTGACCCAGGAGGAAGTACGCTACCCTCCAAAAGAACTACTTGACTTTTCTAATATATACAAACAGAAGCCTCGGGAATATGCGTGGAAATGGCTCTTAAGGGTTGGATAATGATGCAAAATAATAAAGTTGGGTCAGTCTGAGTTTATTGATATGGGCCCACTAAGCAGATGCTTCATTCAGTGTTTCAGCTTGAGAGGTTAGGAAAGGATCTAATAGTTTATTTGGTTGGGTTGCTGAAGCATGGATTACGAGGTGGCCTACACTAAATCAGGTTGGAGTGCCAGACCTGCCTTGGTATACTGTAGAAGAGGGTATCCAAAAGCTTAGGGAAATTGGCATGCTAGAGTGGATTTATCAGGTGAGACCCCCAGGCCCACACATGGAGTGCCCAGAGGACACACCTTTTACCGCAACTGTGAGAGACAAATTCGTGAAGGGAGCCCCAGCATCCTTGAAGACTGCTGTGATTGTTATTTTATGTAAGTCAGATCTGACAGTGGGAACTGCCCTAACTGAATTAAGACTCCTAACTACAGTGGGGCTGATTGGACCCGGTGGTGGTAGGGGACAAGTGGTGGCACTCAATCAACAAAGACAAGGAGGGCGTGGTTATCGCAGTGGACAGTGGAGTCAAAGCAGAATCAGATTAGTCTTACTTGTATGGATTTATGGCGTTGGCTACTTAGTCTTGGTGACCTAGGAGTGAAATAGATGGGAAATCTACTAAATATTATTTTGATCTGTACAAGTGAAAGAATTCTAGGTCAAGTGAATGGCAGTCTAACTCCAGTCACCAGAATAGAGAGTCACGGCCCCTCAGTCAATTTCCAGACTTGAGCTAGTTTATGGACCCACAACCCCTTGATTGAAGGGGAGGCCTGGTCCACTTGAGGAGGGACCCCACTACACTGCCAGAAATTTATACTGTTAATCTTTCTCCCAGCCTTCCCCAGAGGGATCTATGACCTTTTACTAGAGTGACTGTTCATTGGGGAAAAGGAAATAATCAGACTTTTTGAGGATTACTGGATACTGACTCTGAACTGACACTAATTCCAGGGACCGAAAATGTCACTATGGCCCACCCGTCAGAATGGGGGCATATGGAGGTCAGGTTATTAATGGAATCTTAGCCCAGATTCACCTCACAGTGGGTCCAGTGGGTCCCCAAACCTATCCTGAGTGATTTCCCCAGTTCCAGAATGCATAATCGGAATAGATATACTCAGCAATTGGCAGAACCCGCACACTGGATTGCTGACACATGGAATAAGGGCTATTATGGTAGGAAAAGCCAAGTAGAAACCATTAGAATTGCCCCTACCAATGAAAATAGTAAACCAAAAGCAATACCACATTCTTGGAGGGATTGTGGAGATTACTGCCACCATCAAGGAGTTGAAGGATGCAGGGGTGGTGATTCCCACCACATCCCCACCACATCAACCCATCTGTTTGGCCTGTGCAAAAAACAGATGGATCTTGGAGAATGACAGTGGATTATTGTAAACTTAACCAGGTGGTAATTCCAATTGCAGCTGCTGTTCAGGCATGGTTTCATTGCTTGAGAAAAATAATACATCTCCTGGTACCTGGTATGCAGCTGTTCATCTGGTCTTTACTTTTTCTCGATTCCGGTTTTGAAGAAACACCAGAACAGTTTGCCTTGACCTTGCAAGACCAGCAATACACCTTCACCTTCTTACCTGAGAGGTATATCAACTCTCCAGTCCTATGTCACAATTTAGTCTGCAGGGACCTTGATCACCTTGCCCTTCCACAGGATGTCACACTGGTCCATTACGTTGATGACCTTATGCTGATTGGACCTAGTAAGGAAAAAGTATCAATGACTCTGGAAATTGGAAAGACATCTGCCTGCTAGAGGGTGGGAAATTAATCCAACCAAAAATTCATGCACTTTCAACCTCAGTGAAATTTGTAGGGGTCCAGTGGTGTGGGTCATGTCCGGATACTCCTTCTAAAGTGAAGGATAAGTTATTGCATCTGGCTCCTCCCGCAACTAAAAAGGCAGCCCAGTGCCTGGCGAACCTCTTTGAATTTTGGTGGCTACATATCCCTCATTTGCGTCTGCTGCTCTGGCCTGTTTATCAAGTTACTCAAAAAGCTGCTAGTTTTGAGTGGAACCCTAACCAAGTGAAGGCTCTGCAACAGGTTCAGGCTGCTGTGCAAGCAGCTCTGCCACTTGGGCCATGTGATCCGGCTGATCCAACGGTGCTTGAAGTGTCAGTGGTAATAGAAATGCTGTTTGGAGTCTTTGGTAGGTCCTTATTGGTGAATCACAGGGCAGACCCTTAGGATTTTGGAGCAAAGCCCTGCCATCCTCTACAGATAACTGCTCTCCTTTTGAGAAACAGCTTCTGACTTGTTACTGGGCCTTAGTAGAGACTGAACGCTTAACCATGGGACACCATGGAAATGGGAGAGGCACCACTCACTATTAGCCCTCGTGACCCACTCACAGAATGTTTGCTTCCTGTTCCTGCAACCCTGTTCTCTGTGGGTCTAGAGGTCTTAGTTCCAGTGGGAGGGGTGCTCCTACCTGGAGACAATGATTCCATTAAACCTGAAGTTAAGAATGCCACCTGGCCATTTTGGGCTCCTCATGCGTCTGGATCAACAGGCAAAGAAGGGAGTTAGTGTATTTGCTGGTGTTTTTGATCCTGATTATCAAGGGGAAATCATACTGACATTACATAATGGAGGTACAGAAGAGTATGTCTGGAATGCAGGAGATCCCTTAGGGCGTCTCTTAGACTATCATGTCCTGTGATTAAAGTCAATGGAAAACTACAGCAACCCAATTCCAACATGACTGCTAATGACCCAGACCCTTCAGGAATGAAAATTTGGGTCACCCCACCAGGCAAAGAAGCACAACCATCTGAGGTGCTTGCTGAGGGCAAAGGGAATATGGAATAGATGCTGGAAGAAGGTCGTTCTAAATACCAGTTACGGCCACGTGACCAGTTGCGGAAACAGAGACTGTAATTGTTATGAGTATTTCTCCTTTGTATGTGTGCATCTAATATTTTTGTTTCCTTATAAAGGGGGCTAGTGCATTTTCAGTTGTACGCGTGTTAGTTGTATCATGTTAGGCGCCAGTATGACTTTGTATTTAGAGATTATATTTGGTTTAAGGAAGTGTGTACAGGTTCCAGGTTGACAGGGGGTGGAGTCTGATGGTTAAAGTCGTGTGTCACCTTGGCTGGGCCATGATTCTCTGTGGTTTGGCAGGTTTGGAATGATGTGATTTTTCAGATATTTGACTGATTGCTCTTCCATAATGCAGTCACCTCCAAGATGAGATCTGATAGAATGTAACACTTTGATGATCAGATCTGTTGTGAGTAGCCAGTCAGTTGTAAGGGGAATTTCTTTGGGAGTGTGGCCTACATCCAGTATATATGAATGTTCTGGCAAAGCTCGCTGGTTTTGCTCATTCTGTTTCCTGCATCCGGCTTGTCATCATTTGACTCGTGGTTCTTCGGACTTGAGCCAGCAGCCTGCTGTCTTACCTGCCGATCATGGATTCACCAGCTTCTGCAGCTACAGAAGTCAGGAGAATCCTCCATCCTGACACCTGAGTGTGTCTTGGGACTTGCTAGCTTCTACAACTGTGTGAGCCATTTCCTTGAGATAAATCTCTTTGACTCTCACTGTCCCTCCCTCTCTCTCTATATATATAGTCTTCACTGAATTTGCGTCTCTACAGAACTCAGCCTAAAACAGCCCCTCATATTCTTATTTTCTGAAACTTGTAAAAGTCAGTTTAAAGTCGTATTAATCATTTTTGTTTTATTGTTTCCATTTATTGATACTAGGATTTATTTTGTATTTTATTGTATTGGCAAGAATTTTTACATTGTTTCCTGTGTTTATTATAAATACCTCTTGTATTTTACCAAGAAGTATGACCATATATATTGGTGTATACAGTTTCTAACCATGGTAAGGAACTCTCATACACCTAGTTTTTATTAGGAATGGTTTTAAATTTTATTGAACTTTTTTGGGCATCTATTGATAATTGTGTTTGTTTTGAATTTTTTTCGCCTTTTAAATGATGTGATTTTCTGATATTTAATCATCCTGCATTTCTTAGATAAACTCTTCCTTGCCATGGTGAGGTATATGCTTAAAAATTTTATGCTTTTCAATTAAGTAAAGAAAAAAAAAAATTACAACAGCCTGTAGTGTTGTTTTAGGGGTTTGATGGTTGGAATTTGCCAGGTACTTTTTCATGGTTTGAAAGGTCAGGGTTTCTTTTGTTAATAGGTTTGTTTTATTTTATAGACTCTATACTAGAATTTATTATTTTACAGCATTCTTCTTAAATCTTCTTACACTGAGCCTTTTATACTTGCAAAACTTAATTTTCATATTAATTATAGCAATACTTTGAAACTTTGTTTTGCTTTCAGTGTTCTTACTATTTGTCAATTATTTGTTTTATCAGAGATAATCAGTGAGGACATTATGCAATGCTATAATTTAGAAAGCCTTGCATAATGGATATAAATGATTTTCTTCCCCAGAGATTCCTGACATCGTAGATGCTGGTAATCTGAAAACCTTTAGGTGAGTCTGTCTCTTTTATTATTTCTTTGAAGGACATGTAAACTACATGAGGCATAAACTTCTCTTTTCAGTCTGGATTTTAGAGCTAAAAGAAAAACATGGGTTTCTTTTAACGTTTTCTCTTTTGTCAGAAAAAGTAAGAATTTTCCAGTGTTGTTTTTTATTTGAAACATCTGGTTGACATTGAAATGATAGTGACTCAGTAAGCCTTTTGCTTTTCAAACTATTTTAAAATACTTTAATATAGTACTCCAAAGAGCTTGGTGTTACTATTCCTCCCTAATTCTCATTTTTTAATAAGCTAATAGTAAACAATAAACAGTAAAATAACAGACTTGATAACTCGAATCACAGCCCAGAACTGTTCCGTAGCACCCTGTTTGGCTAAGAAGATGGTCAGTGGGAAGTGATACCCGGGAAGGGTTAAGGCAACAGGAAGTGGTTGGTACACTGGTCTTTCTGATAACTCTCTTCCATGATCAGGGAGACCACTGAGTAGGATGTCAGTGTTTGCATTCTTAAAACATAGGTTCTCTGTCTTTAAAAAATTATTTTTATTAATATGAATAATTGGTCTTAACTAGACCATGTTCATGGGTCTGAAATTTTATCTTAATTTAATTTAGATAAATTTAAATCCAGAGTTGTATTCTTTGAAACCCTTAAGCTTATTTTATAATATTTTATACTTCTGAACTCTTAGACATTAGTTCTAATAGAATTTATCATATTTCAAAAGCATATTTAAAAGTTTACTTTTTAGCTCACGTATAACATGTCTTTATAATTTGAATACATGGAGCTTAAGATTCTTTTTAAGACCTTATGCTTTTTGCCTGTAATATGATTCAATCAAATGTATAAATGTACCCTTATTTATGAAACAATGTGAGTTCTTCCCCCACCCCCCGCCAGAAAGCCAGAGAGAAGAGATTAGCCTCGTCTTTGTTAGTGTTGTCGGTTCAGTTCTTGAAACAGTCTTCACATTGCTCCTAAAGTAATTGGAACAGAAGGATTGTCACAAAAGTGCTGCTGTTCAAAAACTGAAAGTTTTTTATTATAAGAATAAAATTATTTGATTGCCAAAACTTAACTGTGATGTGCCACTATCAATAAAAAGAAAAACAAATGTCACACGTTCTGGAGATTGGCGGGTGTGACGTGGGTCCTACTTTGGACATTGTTGATACTGTGTAGCATGGCAGGGGGAGACACTCGGGTGAGGCAGAGCAGAAGAGAGTGGAGCAGGGCCTCTTTCTACCGTCTGTCTAATACTGTCCTGAATTGCTCTTGAAGTTCTGAACATGCAGGACTCTGTGCAGTTACTTCTCGTGTAAATTAAGGAGAAAATAAATATAATAAAAGCAAGCCTCAGTTCTGAGGACATTATATTTTCTGTGCACCGGTATTTTTCTCTCTAATGCATTTCAGTCTGCTGTAAATTTATAAACTTCCATCTTCTACTTTAAGAGTTTTTAATACTGACTGTTGACTTCCCACCTTTCCCTCTGCCAACTTTTCTTTTTTCTAGGGAATGGGATTTTGATCTGAAGAAATTACCAAATATTAAAATGAGAAAAATTTGTGCTAAAGATGCAATTCCCAAGAAATGCAAGAGGAAAAATGTCACAGCTGTAGACAAAGTCTTAGAGGAATTGGAACTAAAAGATGAATCCAGTGACTCAGATGAGGAAATGACTCCAGTAACCTAATTGTCTTTTCTTGAGTTGAGAATAAAGAATCTGAGAGCTTCAGGTTACACTCACTGATTGCAGTGAATAATTGTCCAGATAAAGGAATTTGCTGCCTAGCTCATTCCCTTCCATGAAGAGAGTCCCATTCGCAGTTTTAAAAACGATGTTTAGGATTTTTATTTAAAGCAACGTTATAATGAAAAATGAAAGTGGCTTTATTGTTTATATTGTTAAAGCGGATAGAAGTGATTTGTAAAACCTGTTCAACCTGAGTTTCTGGGGGTGGGAGTTGATGGGAATGAGGACAGAAGATGTTTGATTTTTTTCCTCACATTTGTTTAGGGTGCTTAACGCCACAGCAGTGGGTTTTGGGCTCCCGTGTTGAGCTGTGGACAGCAGCTTGTTTTCTGAGAGGCACCTGTTGGTATCTTTTGAACTATTCGTGAGAGGAGAGTGTCTCTCGGATAGTGTCACACTGACTCTCCCCCGAGACATCCCCGCGTTTTTCATCACAAAATAGGGGAAAATGGGATAATGGAATTCATATAGGCTGATGGATTGTTCATTATTCTTGTCTTCTGAGCCTGAGTTAAATGGTAAAAAATAAACAGTCTCTTATAGTGAATGTATTTTATCTCTTTACAAATGCCGTCAGGTGAGCTCGTTTCGATTGTGTATTATTTTCTGCTTTCTCATTCTGAAAAGTGATGGTTGGTTTGTAGAGACGTAACTGAAGACCCGATCAGTTTACTGATGCGTTTTCTTTTCCCTTCAAGAGACAGGTTAAATTGACACAGAAATGACTTACTGTTTCACGGATCGGGAAGAACATAGCTGTGGTAGAATGTTCTTCTTCACAGACCTTGTTATATGCAGCATATCCTTTAGTCTGTTTTATAAAGGTTACTATCCAACTGCATTTGAATGTTTTCAAGAAAATAAAAAATGCTGTATGTTAACTCCATACCAACTAAGTTGTTAACAGGTGATTTAAAATGTTACAACCTTTTTACTTAGGAAAATTAAAAATATTTTATTTCTGCAAATTCAGTTCTTTATGTTCTGATTAACTTTCAGTGGTATACCTGATGCTGATTTGCATTAGTAATCTGTGTACAAGCCTGGTTTTATGATTGCATAAGAAGCTCAGTGGTCGTTAGTTGTAGGAAAAGTTCTTCTCCCTCTTTTATTTTGGATTCATATTTGCTTCATATTTAGTCTCATGATGGCTGTTTTAAACTGAGTCATAAATTATGCTAAAGAGAACAAGAACCTTTATTTTAATCTGGTCTGATGCTTTAAAAGCCAGCCTGTTAGATGAGTAACTTGTGGAAGTGCTCCCCCTTCGACGTTGTTCCTAGTTTTCCCTGTGCTGCCCAAGGCAAGAACACAGCTAACAGGCTGCACTGCTGGGACCTGGTCCAGCTGTGTGTGTGCCGATGAAGCGTCAGTGTCATGCTGCTCCCGGCTGGGCCAGGGCGCCTGCCCGAGAGAGAGATGAGCGGCATTTAGAGTGCTGTTCGTAGATGAGATCCTGATCACTGACTGCAGAGAACGTGTGCTCCTTTAGATCCCTGTGTAGATCAGTAGCTTGTCTTTGTGACGTAGCTTGTGAGGTCCTTGGCCACAGAGCAGAGAAAAGGGAACTCGCCTGGCTGGCATTTCCTGCTGGCCGAACCAGGGGCTGGCAGACTGTTGTCTTGTAAGGGGCCAGACAGTAAATATTTCAGGCTTTGCAGGCCGTGCAGTTTTCCGTTGCATATTCTCTGTGTGTGTTTGTGTTGCCGCCCTTTAAAAATGTAACATTCATTCTTAGATCATGGGCCATACACAAGCGGCGTTTGGCCCACTTGCCATAGTTTGCTGGTCCCTGGTCCAAGCCAACGAGCTGAATGTCTGTTGTCGTAAGTTAATGAGACATTTCTAAACTCGAATCAGCTAACTCCAACATCTCAGGTCTCTTTTCCTAATGCCCCACTCACTTCTTTGCCTTACCGACGCAGCTGTGCCGTTAGGACTCTGTTCACCTCAAACAGAAGCTTTTTCTACTCTTTATGCGTTCTGGGTGCCTCAGGCGGTTAGGTAGGTGTCCTGCTTGCTCTGCTGCCACTTCCGAATAATTGCTTCCTTCATTCTTCGAAGCTCTATCTCTGTCCCCCTCCTTTTTATAATCTGCTTACCAATAAAACCAGTTGCCATTGAGTCAGCTCTGACTCATGGTGACCGCATGTGTGTCAGAGAAGAACTGTGCTTCACAGGGTTTTCAGCGACTGATTTTTCTACCTTAGATTGCCAGGCCTTCCTTCCGGGGCACCTCCGGGTGGACTTGGTTAGCAGTGTTGACTGTTTGCATCACCCAGGGACTCCATTCTCTGCTCCCCTTGCTGTAAAACCTGCCCACTCACTGGACGATTTCAGCTCTTAGCTCAGCTTTCCCCTTCTCCCTTAGTCCAGTCCCGTTAGTGATTTCAGTAGCCTTGTGGATAACAAGTCTAACACTGTGGGCTTTAAGTTCTCCATTCTTTTCTCCATCCCATCGCAGGCACACCGATGTCACACCCGGATCCGTATCAGCACCTGGACCTCTCTCTGTAAACTTGATTTTGCGCGTTCCGCTCTTGGTTCGTTGTCGTCTGTCCTCGGCTGTTTGCTGAGGCCCCGCACTTCTCCGACCTCCCTCCATCACGATGTGTCACCTGTTTCCTGCTGGCAGGTTGTTTCTTCTTCAGCGTCGACTGACGTTGATAGTTGCGTCCTTGCACGTGCCTTCAGGTCCTTTGCCCCTGACTGCGAGTGTTCGTGTTTCAGAGCCCAGGCCAGTAAGACGTCGTTCTCTGGCTCTTCGGTGCCGGTGCCCAGGCAGCTGAACGTTGTGAGAAAAACCAGACCGACGGTTTCCACTTCCGTGTTTGCAGCTCTCGAGTGGGTTCTTAACACTGCTGAGCAGTCTCACTGTGTTTCCCTACTGAGTTCATGTTCCAACTTGGAGGTAACTGTTTTGCAGGAAAAAGTAGTAAGATAAATTAATGCAATTAATCGATTCTAATACCGCTTAAATACTAGCCTGTGAATGCCCACCTTTCAATGTTGGCCGTTTATACATCCTTGAGAAAGTAGAGGCTATCATATTCTTCTCCTTCGGTGTAAAGTGTAGAGTAGCTTTTCTGCTTTCAAAGGTGAGTGCTTCTGTTTGACTTCTGGATCTCACTCCCTGTTGTCTTTTCAGGAACCTTGATCCTCCCAAAGTTTTCCATTCAGTTTCTTAAGCCAGAATCTCCTTACAAATTGTCCTTGATTCTTCTCTTTCTCTCTTCCATGCCCTCCCCCCAATGTAATTAGTATTTCCGGTTCCATTTCCCAAATTATTAGTAGCTTCCTAACTGGCATTCCTGCCACCTCTTTAATCCATTATCCAAGGTGTCGATCATGAATTTTTAAAAACCTGCGTTAAAAGAGGCCACCTCTTTGTTTCAATTCTTACAGTATCTTTCCATGGTGTTTGGAATGAAATTCATGTTACCTGCTCTAGCCAGAGGAGTCTGGAACCATCTGATTCCCGACTGCCTTTGCACCTCAGCTTGTGCCCACTTGCCCTTTAGTGTGCACCCTACACGCTGGCCTTCTGTCTTTCCCTCGAGTGGGTCCGGCCGTGTCGTGTCATGGAACAGCTCCGTGCGGCACACTGATGACCTCTGTGTGCACGGAGGCCGCTCAGGCAAGGCTTGGCTGTGGCTGATCTCAGCCTTGGCAGATCGCCCTGTGCCCTTCGTGGAGCACAAGGATATGGAGGCTCAGGAGGACCTGCCACAGGCCACGTCTCATTTGCCTCTGTCTTCCAGGGAGGATGCTGCGAGACAGTTTCTCAGTGATGGCCTGCTGGGTTCTGATGAGTATGAAGTTTCCACCTTGCGCCTCCAGGGGGCAGCTGCAGGTTATAAAACTGCTTAGCTGTGGGGTGGGATCAACTCCACAGCAATAGGGTGCCCTGTCACCTGTGTTACATCGTCATGCCATCTGGCACCTTTTCTTCTGGTGTCAACTTGTGGGACAAGACAGTAGGGACCTGGCACCTGTGTTCATCTTTTGCTGTCTGTGTGAGTAATGTGCTGAGCCTAACAAGGCCTCTTTTTTTACTGACTGAATCTCGTCCGCCTTGCTTGACATTTCCCCATTCCGGACCTTGGTGCTTACTGTTCTCTCTTCTCGCATCGTCATCCTGAGTGTTTGCAAGGCTGATGGTAACTGATTCTTTTCCTCATCCTTTAGATCTCGGCTGAAGTCACCTCTGTATCTAAAACATCTCAACTCCCACACACTCTCTGCCCTGGGGACTTCCTGTCACAGCACCCCGTTCAAGATTCTTAATCGAACAAGCGATGACAATGATTAGTGGTCTAGGAGTGTTCGATGTCATGTTGGGAGGTGGGGGAAGGTTACAAGAATTCAGACATCCAATCTGGGCAGAAGAATGAGCTGATACAATTAGTCTAATAGAAGGCTGTCTTGATCGTCTGGTGCTGCTATAACAGAAATACCACAAGTGGATGGCTTCAACAAACAGAAGTTTATTCTCTCACAGTCCAGTAAGCTACAAGTCCAAATTCAAGGCATCAGCTCCAGGGGAAGCTTTCTGTCTCTGTCAGCTCTGGAGGAAGGTCCTTGTCATCAGTCTTCCCTTGGTCTGGGAGCTTCTCAGCACAGGAACCTCAGGTCCAAAGGATGTGCTCTGCTCCCGGCACTGCTTTCTTGGTGGTGTGAGGTCCCCCTGTCTCTCTGCTCGCTTCTCTCTTTTATATCTCAAAAGAGATTGGCTTAAGACACTATCTAATCTTGTAGACATCATCAGTATAACTGCCACTAGTCCATCTTACTACATCATAGTGATAGGATTTACAACACATAGGGAAATGACATCAGATGATACAATGGGGGACAATCACACAATACTGAGAATCATGACCTAGTCAAGTGGACAGATATTTTGGGGGGACAGAATTCAGTCCATGACAAAGGCCTCTGGGTACCCTGGGACAGGAGTTCATTTACCCTGCATTCAGGATTAGAAGTCGGGGCTTTGGAGAGGGACATTCTCCTTACCAGCAACAAACCTCTTAGATTAGAAATAGATTTCAAAGTCTCATTATTTCCAAGTAGAGAAATGTCTTTATATTCTTAGTTCTGTAGCCAGACCTTGTCATGAGAAAGTACTTCTGGTTCCCATTGTGATTTTTTAAATTAAAAAGTTTTTTAAAACAGATTTGAAAGTCTGTATAAATTATTTCCATTGATTTCCTCTTACTAATGCACCTGTGTATTCTTTTGCAGAATAACAAGGTTTAGTCAGCATGTTTGACTTAAAATTAAGAGTATGTTCACACCCTGCTTAGGAACGCAGCCCATCAGTAAATCCTAAATCAGGTGATACATCAAGATCTCAAGCCTGTTTGTATGTTGCAAATATAAATCTGCAGAAATCTTTGTTATTTAGGCTAAAAGAGAAAGCACAACAGAAGTTTGGGTCACATGTTTAATATACAAAGTCTTTCACACACAATTACTTTCTCTTAATTTGTCTTCATACACATTATTCACAAAACATTAAATTGTTAATGCAAGAGGATCAGGTAAAATAGTGCAAATGCCCAGTCTCAAAAATTGCACACAGTCAAAATAATGTTTTCCTTGTTTGTTTTAATGTAATACTTTCAAAATGGGCTTTTTTCAGATGTGGAGGAAACACTGCAGCCCAAAAGAACAGTACTTCTTCCATCTGCGTTGGTATGTAAAATAGCACCATTGGGCTGACTTATGGAAAGGAAAAAAGGTTTTCATCTTTCTTAAAGCGTGAGCCTGCACTGTCATTATGTAACAACTACAGTAATAACAAGAACGGGTTTGAAGTGCTCTGTTCTAGTCCAGAATACTAAGTAGCCAGGTCAGGGAAGGTAAACTCTGCCAGATGTAACAATCTTCCCCACCCTGCCCTGATGACAGTTGAATGCCTGTAGGGTCACTGTGAGTCGGAATCGACTTGATGGCAAGGGGTTCGGTTTTTGGTTTGGTTTAATGATGTCATGGAGCCCTGGTAGCACAGTGGTTAAGAGCTCAGGCTGCTAACCAAAAGGTCGGCAGTTCGAATCCACCAGCTACGCATTGGAAACCCTATGGGGCAGTTCTACTCTGTCCTCCAGGGTCGCTGTGAGTTGGAATGGACTCCACAGCAATGGGTTAACGATGTCATTGATCTAATGAGTTAATTTTCCAGGCAAAGAATAGATGTTTTAGGTGTACTTAAGGACCTTTTGCAAAGCCAGATAAAGTATCACTATGAGACCATCTCTGCAGGACTGTGATCACATGGAACAGGCAGCTCAGGGTGAGTTCAGTCCTGGCCATTTAGAAAGATTCTTTCAGTATATACCTGTCCTCCTTCCGCTTCGCAGACACCGCTGTCTCCCAGGTTGGTTGGTGCCGTCCTTTTTGTTTCGGCTTTTCTTTTGTTTTTGTGCTTAAGCTTAATTGCCTTTTGGACTCTTCACTTTTTAAAAAATACTGGACTTCCATTCCTTTAGAATTTAGTCTTTGATGAACAATGTATACAATAAAAGTGACAGTTCTTTAGTTAGAAAATTAACAGTGTAAATATCTGTGGTTTGTGATATTGATAATACCACAGATTCATGATTGTAAAAAGCCTAGGTTTTTAACAGAACTGTAAGTTTATTATTCGATTCCAGTCTTTTGTTTCAATCCCATTTTATTTCTTCTATGACCAGGTAAAACAAGCTTCAAAAAACTGTCATTCCTGGGAGCAAGGTTTTTTTGTTTGTGTTTTTGAGGGTTATATTCAGCCCAGAAAAGCATTGCCACAAAGCCAGATCCTTTCATTGTTTGAAAGGTCAGGTGAACCATCACCACACAAAAAATGTAAAAATACTGTAATCAGCAGTAGGTTTTAAATGCATGTAGTTCTTTCAGATTGCTTGAACCATAAGCAGCCATCATAGGAAAAATGTTTTAGAAGGTTTAAATTCAGGAGTTCAGGGTTTAAAAAGGGTCAGAAAAATAACAGAATAAATTGCTGACTTTAACCTGTTAGGGAGCTATATTATTTTCTCATTTCAATAAAGTCAAAGCCCATAAAAGTTAATTTTGAGAATTTAGGTATAATTCTAAAATACCATTGTTTATCGTTACTATAGTAATGCTGTAGGGTCGCTATGAGTCAGAACGACTCGATGGCAACTTTTTTTTTTTTTTTTTTAACAGTAATGCTACCCTTGCATTTCTTTCTAAATACCTTTTCTTAGTGTTGAACATAGCCTTTAATAAATAGGCCTTATTTTAGCCAATTATCTCCCACTATGACATGGGCTGTGCACTTAGACGTATCTTGCTTTGATTTGTGCAGAATTAAACAGTATTTTTGGTAGTAATTCAGCTAAATAACCCTTTTTTCCTCCAGTGCAAACAAAAGAGCAATCAACATGTCTTTGTTTGCTGGTGACTAGATTTTTTTCCTCCAGGAATGTTTGTAAACAACATGTTGCCATTGCTAAATCACAGGAAAAATGAATTAGGTAAAAGTTGAAGAAAATTAACAGGAAAATCGAATCCAGGTGAATGCCTCAGGTGAGGCGCCATGGTTAAATCACCCAGTTTGTTATACACGAATATATTTACCTTAAACCTTTGAAACAGAAACTTGAAGTTAATACGAAGTATAGTTTCTCAAAAGTTTATGTATTTTTTAAAACACCATTTCCTGTGCCCTTATTTATGCAGAATTTTTGACCCAGTTTCGTTCCAGCTACTTTGTTCTGCCTATGCCTTTCTTCCACACCCCTACAAGTTTTAAGAAAGATGAGTTTTAAACCTTTTATTTCCTGATTGACTGAAAATCTTAACATTTTTCTCATGTATACATGAACACACACACCACACGCACACAAAGCTGACGTTGTTTACCTTTTTTTTTTTTTAAAAAAAATCCGTAGGAATTGGGACTATTTGAACTCATTGTCAGCACTACCAATATTAATACCATCCTTTCACTAACTAAAAGGTTGTTACTGTCCGTTCCTATGATAATCTGTGAGGAGCAAGGACACTGTTAATTACAGAGTGCGTTGGTGTGACCCCCAGATTTGTGCAGTACAGGACCCACGCTTTGGTTCTTGGCGCCGTGATGGTTGCCTTTCCATAGTAATAAATACGACAGCTAACAAAGATAAACCACCTCTCTTTTTACATAGGATATCTTTTTTGACAGGCCACTATATCTATAGTCATTAATGTAGCTCACTGCGATATCAGTCACACTTCAATTTTACATGAATATGCACAGTAATCCACTGAACTGTCAAACCAAAGCAACTCAATTTCTCACTTACAGACTCTGGTGACTATTTTTGCTTCCCAGCTGAGCAAGGGATATACTGTCAGCTTTTAATAGGGTTTAGATGCTTGGCCATAACTACTCATTTGTCAGGTTGATACCTCATATGAGTAAAAAATACCTCATAACCTTACACATTTGATTGGATGACAAAAATACTTCATTTTTGTTTTCCTATGGCGTAAGTGCTTCATAGTAATTAAAAGAAGTTAATTGCAGAACTTTTACGCAGGCAGATTGCTTTACTTACTTCTGGGGGTGATAGCTTCATCCAGTCTTGAAGCGGGATATTTAATTTGGTTAATTTAGTGCTTTGTAAATTGGTAACATTTGTGAGACTTTGAATAAAAGGATGAAGTGAGCTGCTGTTCTAAAACATTCAGCTATTAAAAGTAGAGCCTTAGTCTCTCATTTTAGGCTGTGCTGTCCAATATGGTTACTGCATTTTTACTCAGATAACTTGTGCCTCCTATGTTTGTTTGCCAACCCTGCCCTTCCCCCGTGAGGTATTTTCGTAAGCACCACTGTGCTATTTTTTTTTTTTTTAACATGTCACGGTGATAAAAATTATAGTGCACTTACGAAAATACCTTGCGGGGCAAAGAAATGTAGAAGCTAGTATTATTTGCGTAAAAATACAGTAGTTCAAATTGAGATATGCTGTGAAGATAAAATGCATATGGATTTTGACGACTTGGTTCAAAAAAAAACAAGATGTAAACTATCTCACTAATAATTTTTTATACTGATAACATGTTAAAATGATAATTTGGAAATAAAGGGTTAAAATATTATCAAAATTAATTTCACCTATTTTTTTTTCTAATATAGTTACTAGAAAATTTAAAATTGTATCTGTGGCCCACATGTGTGGCTCACATTCATTTCTACTGGACAGTGCTGTTTTAGAGGGACAAATAAAGAGATAAATTATAGGACCCCATCGTTGGTTTCAACTTCTGAGAGTGTTTTAACAGATCAGAACTAATTAAACCAAAAAATTCTCTGTAAATCTTTTGTTCATGACTTAAACATAATTCCAAGTATTAATATTTCAAATGTGTCTTGCAACTATTTTAAAAACATGCATCTGTCAAAACAATTGACTCCACTATAGCTGTAAAAATCTGTTATCTGTCAAAGTATGAATATCAAAATATGCATCCTCCAGTTTTATTTCCGGTGTGACTAGGGATGATGCAGGCAGTTTCAAGCTTTAAACCAAATATGTTATTTCCAGATGAGATAGTTATCCTACAAGGCCCTAGAGGAAACACGCATTGCAATTCAAGTCTGTGTTTTTCCACTTTTCCCTGTTGCTGTGAAGAGTATCGTGTGTCCATTAAGTCTCTTGTCATTGCCTAGAAGCCTCACCCCAATAGTGCTTAATTGTCTTAGAAATCATTCTCTGGCAAACTTTTCACATTTCCGTATCACACTTGAGGCTTTGCTTCATGAGATCCTGGACATTTGGTGTTTTTTTCTCCCTTCCTTTTTGTGCGAAGTAAGGAAAAACGAGTCAGCAGGAGACAGAGGAGGAGATGGAGAGACTAGATCAGGGTCACTTCTGTCCTTTGTAGTGGCTGAGGGCTTATTCTGCAGTGAAGAAACTCCCAACTGGCTTCGTCAAACTGGTACAACTTCAGGGGGGCCGCCCTCTGCAGGCGGCGGTGCGCTGGTACCCGTTTGTGATACAGGCACAACCACAGCATCCTTGATGTCTGTGTTTGCATTACCTGAGAAGTTCTTCTCCAGCTTTTTGGCAGTGTCTGGACAATTTTGCACAAAGATCACACGGTTGTAGGCCTTCAGCCTGCGCCACAGCTGAAGGTAGACCTTACACTGAACGTACATGAAGACGAGACCTCCTGTGAAGCCAATGGCCACCACAACCAGTTTTGTCCAAAATGGCCATTCAAGGACACCTTCAAATCAAAAAGAGAGAATGTTATCACCAAGGTATCATCAGTGGATTCAGTAATTTCTTCTTTGGCCCCACCAAAAGACCATGCGTGCCGGGTAAACTAAGTTTTTGTTAACAGCTAATAAGAATTACAAACTGAGTTGACCTAATGACATTCGGACTATAATTGTATGTGCAGACATTCTCTCACCTGTCGTTAGCATCGAGTACCTACTGCGATTATCAGACGCTACGTTAGACTTCTGACAAGTCGACGTTTAGTTCTTGTACCTAAATCTTGAAGTTTAGTCTAGAAATGCTTACCTAGAATGTTTAGACGCTACACTTTCAGAAGTGAGATCTCAACTTCAAAAGAGCACAATATTTGAAAATAACATTGTTTTTTTGAGCACTTACTATGTGCCACGTGCTTGTCTAAACTATATACATATTCAGTGAACCGTGGCTCTGGGAGGTGGAGTCTCTCAGGCCTATTTTAAAACAAGAATTGATTGAGACTGAGGTAAAGGAAATTGCCCAGTGGGAGAGCTGGGATTTATAGCAGGCACTCTGGAGCCCATAGTGTTAACTTTTAGGGTTTATAGCATCACGCACACAAACACACAGGTTATTTGCCTAATTGTAACTCAACACTTTAAATGCTATAACTCCCAAATGGATAACACTAAAAACCGTGAAGACAAAATCTTGCATTTCTAATTTTTCATGTTTTTAAATGAATGACATTGATCGGTACAATTTTTTTAAAAATGGTAAGATCTATTAAATGGCTTTAAAAGTTCATTTTAAAAAGAATGAAATTTAAATCCAAATAAGTAATTTCTAAGACAGAAGAAAATGTACAATAATCTCATCTGTGTTCCAAATTAAACTGAAACCATTTATCACACTTGAGCTGGGACATATTCAATGGAGATCTTGTAAAGTGACAAAATTTTAGAATGACACTTTGTGATAGGGCCATGAATAGGACCTAATCAGGCACAATATAATCCTCTCATCAGATGGAATTACAGTCATGATGCATTCATACTGAGTGTAGCTAAATATGTAGAATATATTTTGGAATATGTAGGAACATCTGCCCTTAGTATGTAGTCTTGGTAAGAGTAATGTGATTTTTATATGATGTTGGGTGTTTATGCAACTTGCATTAATGAAGAACTTTGAATTATAAGCACATATTCCAAATGGTTAATAAGAGCAATAATTTGCATAACAGCAAAGTACATTCACTTACATAAACTCACTTGATCCTGTGAAATATATTTTGAGTCACGTTAGGTAAAGAGAGAATAGGTTTTCAGTTAACCTGATTTTTGTATGGGTAACTAGGGTTGAGAACTGTCTAAACTAATAGATTCTAAGTGTGGTTACTCTAACCATGGTGCATTTGACAGTGTCAAGACGAGAAGTGTGAGCTGGTTTCATGTTCGATTTACTGCGAGTACAGTAAAGAGCTTATTCTCCAAACTTGTCCTATTCAATATCCTTATTGATAAAAAAAAAATAAAAGTGGGGGATTGCCAGTCAAATGTGTACAGGACCCTGAATTTGGAAGCAGAGCGAACATACTGAAAGAATCGGAACTTAAGATTCTTTAAGAAGATGAAGTAATGCAGTTCCCTTTCCCCACCCTCATCCTCTGAAAGAAAAGAGAATGGAGAGCAGCTGCCCAACTTCACCAGAGAGAGAAAAAGAATTCCTGAGCAAGAACGTGAGAAAGATTTAGGATTATAGTAATTTGTTTTATAAATCTTACGTTTTGTACAGGTGAACTATCATTTTATTAGACATCTACATTTTCTCTTCATTTCCATTACACTTAGTAGAAGCTAGCTTGCTTTTACAAGCAGGTTTTTTTTTAAAAAAAAAAAAATATTTCACAAGAGTTTCTGTAACTCCGAGTATTTAGAACAGTCGTATTTACGAACGTTAACTACATGGTAGGAACCTGTCCATGTCACCGTCAGAAGAGTGTGGGGGTGTGATAGCTGCCTTCATTACTTTGAAAGCTTGTGTCAGGGAGTAGGCTCAGTCTAATGGACCAGGAAAAGTTGGTAGAAATGGTGAGGTTTTTAAATGCTTAAACAAGAATGTATGTATTTATAAGAAATATCCTGCCTCTGTTGTATAGTAGTGACATTTGCTTTATGCTGTGGAAGCAAAAAAAGATCCTATGGCCTGTTTCCATCATGACTAAGACTTTGTACCCTAAGATTAACCAGAGAACAGGGTCACCCTGTCAATTTCTAGTCCCCAAAATAACTGAAACATCGAGCATTTCCTGTATGCCTAGACTTCCTGGCAAAGACACTTTATTCCTGACTTTTCCAATGCTGATGGTGAGAGTTACGTTAGACTTTCTTGGATGTGATAATCAGATGTTAAAATTTACATCTTCCACCAAGAACAACTAATGCAAACTTAGTGACCGTGATAAATTTGTATTTTCCTTTAAGTACTTATTATATTTTTCATTTGCTAAGTCAGTCTGAAGTCTGATCCCCTTGAACCTTCGCAAGTAAACTATTTTCCTTTTCTAACTGCTTTGGCTCTTTCCTTTTGAAATACTGGAAAAACGCTGTCTGATCTTAAAAGGAGCGTGTCACTGACCTGAAAAACCTCTCACTGTTGTTGATGTTTCATTATTTATTACTCTCTTCATCATTGACTAAAATAAATGTGGATGTTTCTTTCAGTAATAAAATCTGAAACTAAGTTTTGCAATGGATTAAATATATAAAATGGAATTTATTAGAACCTTTACTGGTGCAAACACAGATTTTTTCTTGCTCCTAATACACAAGGATTTCTTTATGATTTGATTAATTCATAGCAGCCATCATTTTAAACATATACTCACAGTGGGAATAATACCTCAAAATATCCGGGATTAATTTCCATGAATTCAATTCTGTATGTAGCTCAAATATCAAATCTTACAGTAAAAGGTGGGTTTGCCAGCATTTCCTGAACCAAAACTTAGTTTGCTAACTTGGACAGTGAAAGCAGAGGTGTAGTTGACTTTCATACTAAAAGTACCCTGAGGTACTGCAGAGTTACCTACTTCCTGAATCAACTGAGATGTAATCCTGTTTGCTGTTGCTATTTTTCAGGTATTTGAAGATTTGTAATGTATATATGGAAACTGGTGGCATAGTGGGTAAGAGCTACGGCTGCTAACCAAAAGGTCGGCAGTTTGAATCCACCAGGTGCTGCTTGGAAACCCTATGGGGCAGTTCTCCCCTATCCTGTAGGGTTGCTATGAGTCAGAATCAACTCAACGGTACAGGTTTGGTTTTGGTTTAGTGTATATATGATGCGGTTATGCAGACTGTATTTAACCAAAGCGCCCTGTTTCTTTGTAACCACGTCCAACGAGAGTGTGAGGTGCCTAAGATTTGTCACGCAGTAAATGTTCATAACACCTCTGTTTACTTGATTGTTACACTCAGCGTCTTGATTTCTTGTATCCAGTGTTTCTTAGGAAACTTTATCCAAAGTCCTGTTTATGTAGCTATTTTCCAAACATCCTATGCCCTAACATATGTTCAAGCTTTAGCATTTGCTGTGCCCTCTGCCTAGAGTGCCCGCCCTCTTTACTGGATAACAAACTCCTACTCATCCTTCAGGACCCACCTCACGGAGAGCGGGATGCCAGTCCCTGGCATGATGGGGGTAAACAGCATTCATGCCTTAATTGCTGACAACACTCCTGCTAATCCCTGTGGTGGCTTCCTAAATCCCTAACACCACAATCTAGGTCAGTTTCTGGAGTTGGTGTGTGAGATGAAATCTCTGCCATCTGGGTTTAGAGGAAGCAAATGCTTTCTCAGAATATTGCAAATTGCCTGTATAGTATTCAGGAGGAATTCTAATAATGTTCACTAATTTAACACACTATTGTTGAGGGTAAAATAGGATAACTATGAACATAATAAAATTAGAGAAGATGGCTCTCCCTGCCTAAACCACTATTCTGGAAATTAATTAGTATATTATGGAGTTAAATGCTGTATCTAAAGGAATAGAGAACAGTTGTATATAATTAATTAGTATATTATGGAGTCAAACGCTGCATCTAAAAGAATAGAGAACAGTTATATAAATATATTTACCTAACAGAAGATGCTGTTTTAGAAAACAAATTGGCAAAAAAAAAGAACTTTTGATTTTAGAAATTTTAGAGTGGAAGGATGTAATGTATCATATTTATCATCAGTATTTTTGTTAGTCATACACAACTATTTAGATGGTCTCATTTCCTACAAATGTCTTTGATTCTAAAGGAAGAGTTTTTAACAATGAAAAGTATGCTACCTTAGGTTGATTCCTTTGTACCAATGTCTTTCAACCAACATGGATTCAGTGACAGTACTGTTATTATCTAGTGATGCTTATACTCTATCCTGTATTCTGGTACACTGCAGACACATTTTCATTTAAGGACATAAAAATATAGGGACAATTACAGAAAATTGTAGTATAAAAAAGCTTTGTATTTATATATACATTTCTCAAATAACTTACGATAGAAATATCCTTAAAATAGTAGTAATTTTTGACCATTTGTGCAGCTTTCTTTTAACTTTGTCCCACTCTGGGATCAATTCCTCATCTCAGGATTTCACTTTATATATTTTCATTATGTATTTTTCATAATGGAGCAAATGCTCCATAAACCCAAATCCAAACCCACTGCTGTGGAGTCAATTCTGACTCACAGCGACCCTGTAGGGTTTCCAGGGCTGTAAATCTCTACAGAAGCAGACTGCAGCATTTTTCTCTCGGGGGCCACTGCTGGTTTCGAACTGCAGACCTTTCTGTTAGTAGTCAGTTGCTTCAACCACTGCGCCACCAGGGATTGGCAGATGTTCCATAGCATGTCAAATATGAAACGTATTGTAGGCATCTTGGCATGCATTTATTTATTTTTGGAGCAAAGTTTTAGTGTATTTCAAAAGGCTCACATTTTTTAAACAAAAAAAATAACTTCTT